TTAGGCCGTGTCGGTCAGTGATGATTGACATTAAGAATTTCCATTTGAGCCGCGTCGGTCAGTGATGACCGCGTTTAACGATGATTTTCGTTTCGTTCCTATAGGCCGTTGGTAAATGTTATCAATCTAAATCCTATATTAATTGAACAGCGTGGCCCTGTAGCTACTCTATATCAAGTTGGTTTTTGTAAAAATTACAAACTTTCATATAAAAACAACAATTACCGTTAAAAAAAGTTTATTGACAGGCACATCGTTTTAAAATCTTATTACTTAAACTAAAAGACAATCAAAAGAAAATACTATTACAATATTTTTATCACCATTTTAGCAGGTAGAACAAAAATAAATACGTATACAAAAAAACGAAAAAAAATTATATATGATCATTAGCAAAGCATTCGACACATAGAAAAGGCTTATCATAGCAAGTGTTACAAAAAGTAGATACTTTTTTAGTTTTGTTCCTAGCCATTGCACGTCCAAATGTGGACACATTTTTCTTATAGCATTCTACACAGGAACGACGCACTTTTAAAGAAGGTCCTTCCTTTTTCTGAAGCACGTGTTTTCGTCTTGTCGTCCGTTCTGAAGGTACATTGGCTAATGTAGGCTTTACCAAAAAGCTCTTTAGTATTTCCTTTCTATAGTCTACAATAGTTATGGGCTTATTTGTGACGCTTTTATACAAAACGAAAGCATTCACCATAGCGATATTCAAAATGAGATCAAATGCAAGTTTTTTGTACCATTTCAGGGATTTTCTCAATGGGCTTTGGTATGCTGCCATCTGATCTGCTAAATCCACTGCTCCCTTAGCTCTATTATAATCTACGACTATCGATGGTTTCATAGTGATTTTATTATTTTTACTAACAGAAACAAAACGTGTTGAATGTTTTGTGGAAAGTACCAACACATCTCGTTTATCTCTCCACCGTAAAACCGTTATACCATCATCACTTTCTTTCGCTATGAACTGGCCTTTTTTCAACTTGGTTGAAACCACAACTTTAGGAAAATGCCGTCTGTTTTTTCTTAAAGTTCCAATCAGATGAGTTTCATTTTGCAGTAGTTCTCTGGCTAATGGTACACTTGTGTACCAGTTATCTGTGTACAATGAATGTCCCTTATTTAGTAAATTTTTGCAAAGGTTCATTACCACTCTGTGAGGATTGACATTCAATTGGTCGTTTCGTTTACCAGCATATACGTTGATATTGTATGTATACCCAGGTAATGTACATAGTTTGAAAAGTTTGATTCCGTATTTATGCCGTTTTTGTTTATTATATTGGCGGAATATTAAGCGTCCTCGAAAGGGAACCATACTTTCATCAACGCATAGGTCTTGGCCAGGAATAAAATGTTGTTGGAAATTGGTATTTAGCATATCTAGCAAGTCCTGAATACGGTGAAGACGATCCGATATATTATTATCGTCATATTTGGAAAAATGAATCATTTGCAGCAGTAGTTCAAACCTATTTCTAGACATGACAGTTCGAGGAAAATTTTGTCCCATGATTTCATCCGTTGACCAATAATCAGCAAGTTTTGGAAGCTTTACCAAACCCATATACAAAATCAAACTGAAAAAGGATTTCATCTCGGCGAGATGTGTTTCAGACCATAAGCGAATTCTTGCATTTCTTGAAGCATGAGCAGTGTTAGTTATTTTAGTTATAGCGAAAGCATTAGTACATTCAACAATTTTTTGTAAAAGATTATCAGTCACCAAGAGCGCGTAAAAATCAGCTGGACATTTATTAACCATCGATGAGCGAATAGAAAGCGGCATGCCACAACATTCAGTAAAGGGAATTACATTCCGTTGATTACCTTTTGGATCTCTCCACTGCGATGATGAAGTACTTTGTAAGTCCTGGATAGCGGCACCAATTTCGTCATCACTTTCCTCGCTTGTAGACAAGATTCGCAGTCGCCTATTGCTCAATCGGGGAGGTTGAATATTTTCTTCGTTATCACTAAAACTTAGGTTTAACGTTTTCTCGAGAAGGTCGATTTCTATATTATCGAGCTGTGTTAAAATATCTTCCGTAATCATAAAATCTTCAAATTCATCCATAGTGATACTTAAATACTATAAAAAGCTTAATTATATTTCGAGGTAACAATGCAGAGCGCTTAAGTTAAAGTAAGGCGTTAAAATAAGTCTGTGTGTGGGCGCGTGCCAACGCAGGAGTGAGGCGAGGGGACCCGACACCGCGACCCGCGCGGCCCCCTGTAACGGAATGACGATTTTTTCGCTCTATGGGCCGCGGCGATCAACGCTGTTCGACATTAATTATTTTAATAAATAATAGCTTAAATTGACTTTCGACAAAAATGCAATACATTAGGATACAGAATAAGACCATATGAGCAAAAAAATATCTTGGCTCATTTTGAAGGGAATCGCATTTTTTACTTGGCCTAAAGGGAAATGTCGCTGTCGA